TTTGTTGAGCCGTTCATCAAGCTTTTGAGGGCCCGTTCACGCGTTCACTCCACACCGACCCGATTCTCCGATTTCTTGTGAAATTTCTGAAGACGGGTAACCCTTTTGAATCCCTCGATCGAGTCCATATCTTCTGTTCTAGTTGTATTTCATGATGCTATTAAATAGTTGGATTCAATTATCGTCTTTCGCTTGGATTCTGATATCGGATCGTTTATTCGGATCCCCTAATTGTTCATGTGTTGAATTCGTGAGTTCTGTGAATAATTGAAACTCTTGTTTATGAAAGTCGAACCCTTTATGCTGCTGCTATGAATAAGTCACTGGATTCGGAGTCTCGTTGTTGTTTCGAGTCTTGCCGTTGTCGTAATGTATTTGTTGGGTTCAAATTTCGTATCGTCATTTAGTTTTTCGAACCTTTCCAGTTTATTCTTGCATTTTCGTGCTATTCGCTGAATATATATATACCATGCCCGACTATTGATTCTCGTTGATCGTCGGATCTTTGTTCGGTTCGTTATTGTTTGTTGATTTTTCGCGTTTGTCGTGGATACTCGTGGAACTCTCGTTTATCGTATAAGTTGAGTCTAGTTGTTGCTGTGTTGAATGTGTGAAGTTTCGATGTCTCGTTTTGCTAATTCGAACCGTCGTTAGGTTGTTCGTTTTTGTTTGAGCCTTATATGTCGTTCCGTTTACTCGTTTCAAAAACCCGATTTTTTTTTTAAAGTTTTCAAATGCTGTGAAATGTTACTGTTAAACTTGCAGCCTGAAAAACTCTGTTTTAATGTGCTATTTAGCCTATCAATTCACAGTTCTTATTTTTTCCAGTAGCAGGTTTGTTAAAGCGTATATTTTAAAAAGTTTGTAACTTTATAACGCGATTAGAGCGCGTAGCGCAGTGGTCTACATGTCAACTTCTGTGATAGGGGTCGCGAGTTCGATTTCCTCTGTGCGCGAGTGGCCAGCCTTTTTTTTTATTTTTCCCCCAGACCCAGCAGTGCGGGCTTCTTGGCCCGCATATGGCCCGCGCGCGGCCCAATCATATCTTTTCTCCAGCCCGCGACCCGGCCCAGTTATGGCCCGCGTGTTCACAGCCATTGTGATCTTTGGGCCAAGTTCTCTAGCCCTTTGTGCGGCCCAATTCCCATATGCAGAGGCCCAACAGTGGCTTGTGCAGTCCAATTGTCATTTAAAGCCAATTTTTGTGTTTCAGAGCTCTTTTTCGTACCGATTTAAATTTTAAAAATATTTTGAAAATGATAAAATTTTTGGAAAAATTATTTCAAGTCTCGAAACTTCAATGTTGTCCTCCGAGTCATATTTTTCAAAAAAATAAGAGAGTTCCAAGTCCACGAAAAATCCGATTAAAACCCCTAAGACTTAATTTTTATTAAGTATGGGTTTTATGTTAAATTCTAGTAGTGAGATATATTATTGATATATTATCTCGCTTAAATGTAGGTGTTTGAGGAGTCGAGCCCTCGACCTACGTACTTGTTTTCGTGTGCAATATTCGACCGCAATACCAGGTGGGTTTTAATCTAAAATTTGCTATGCTATATTTGAGGTAAGATTTTTATACTTTGTGTTCTATGAATGTATGTGTGAGTCATGAGACGGTGCCTAGTGGTGGGCGATCTCCAACCTTGTGATAGGTAGACTCACTTTAGCCTAGTTGATGGGCCGTGACCGTTGATGTTGAACCTCGGCACGACTGTACTCCCGCTGACGAGTTTGGGCTTACCCCTGGCGGCTTTTGATAGGTGTGCACATGAGTATAGTGATGAGTAGGAGAGTGGTGTGTTATGTCTTTTGGCCATGTACTTGCATATGACTCTAGTATAGGTTTCTTACCAATATATTATGCATAGTGGTGAGCACCTCGTTTATATTTGTGCTCATCCCCACCTGCTCTTCATTGATGCAGGTTAAGCACGTGTTGGGCATGACGAGACTAAAGACGAGTGGATGGTCAATCATTATTAATGCTTTTATTTGCTTCCGCATGCTTTGATATTTATGTTGGGATTACCAGACTTGTTTATTCATCCCTATTGCTTTTTGGGATTGGTTGAACTGTTGAACCATGTGGAATAATTTTATCAGTTTGGATTATGTTGACAATCCTATTGCTAGATATGTTGAAATCTAGTCTTGGAACTTGAATTATGTTGAATATTCTCGTTTCCTTTATGCTGATTATGTGATTAAACTTGGAAAATTCTCAAGTAGAGCCAAATGTTTTATAAATCGATAAATGGTTTCGAAATTTTAAAACAAGATTTTTGGATAAGTCCGGAATTGTCTTTAAAAATCTTTGGGGCGTTACAGACATATTGTGACTGACTGTATTAATGATATGTTATTATTAAATAAAAATATTTAATGGTAAACAACAATAAATACGCAAATTATTTACTTGTGGATGCAGTGCTTGCAAAACGGCCCCTAACATGTAGAGGCGCCGGTTGTGCAGGAGCCTGTCGTGGGGGAGGAATGTTCTTGTAATCTCCAGACTCAAAGTCATCAGAATCCTCTGAGAACTATAGACTCTCGAAATGAGGCTCATCATAATCACCTTGCTGCTCGAAGCGAGGTTGCTGAACTCTAAAACTGGTCTGTACTGGACTGAGGCGTCTTGAAGCGCCTGCCTGAAAATCCCCAAACCGCTGCTCGTGCAAAGATTGGTCAGCGTGACCATTCTGTCTCAGACGAATCTGACGCTGCATCTCAGCGTCTCTCGCCCGACGAGCGGAAGCATCCACATATGGACTCCTAGTGTGTCGGGGTGCAGAATCAATAAATTCGATATCCTCTGTATCAATGGCCAATCGCCCAGGTCTACTACCAGTCTAAACTAATAATATAAACTAAAAATTTCTAAACAACCTTTTTAATTCATATATTTTATTAGTTATTATAAAATAATTACAATTAACTATTTATTACTAATATTTACACGTACTAATTGTAATTACTTATATTAATTATTATTATTTCTGAAATATTAAATTGTAATATGGTTTAATTGTAATTACCTATTAACTAAAGCATATAGTACAAAAATATTTAATTCAAATACATTATTAAATATTAGAAGTAATTATTTTTTAAAAAATAATATAAGTTAGATGCATTATCCTATGAATACAAGATAAATTTATTATAATTAAGTTTAATTATTAAAGTAGTTTCATACAATTACATTTAACTAATAGATATAATATAATTTATAAAAGTATTAAAAATTAAAAAATCAATATAATAATTATTCAAAACCACATAATTAGTATAGTTTCACTTTTTGAATATGTATTTTTCCAAACTGACTAATTAATAAAATTATACAATTTTTTTGAATTTATATTAGAATACTAATTATAATTTTTTAAACTAATAATTACTCAACAAACTATTTCATTACATGTATTACAACTAATTCGTTTTCTAAAAACACTGAAGTTGGATTCATTATTCTATTAATAATTAGTAATAATAAAAAATATTATTATCATAATTTTAATATAATTACATATAACTAATATATATGTAATATATTAATTATAACATATTATTAATAATTATCAAACCAAAATTTATCTGAATCAAAGGATTAATTCAATTTTATTTTTAAATATTTACAAATTTAAACATAGTTAAATAATTTCAATTATTACCTAAAAAAATTCAAATTCGCTAGTCGGCCAAAGGTGCAGTCGTCTCTGAAACCGGCAACACCTACCGTCGGCCACGATCGCCGGTCACACCTTCGTTCGGCCGACAAAAACTTCAAAGTTTTTTAAAAAATATTCTACTAAGCGAAAAAAAAACAAAAAAAAAAAACACACTGATGAATCACAAGATTTTGTCATAGGAACGATTTGCAAATTTTGTCATAGGAACGATTTGCCATTTTTTGGAATTGATTGGTGGTAATTCAATCGGAGGAGTTTTGGGAGTGTCTTTGAAATTTTTTGAAAGATAGAAAATTATGAGGTTTATTACCCTGTTGGGGTCCGACACTCGGTATTACCCTGTTGGGGTCTTTGTGTTGTTTGTTGTATTTTTTGTAGTGTTTTATTACCCTTTTGGGGTCGTGTAGTTGGTGTGTTTAGTTTGAGTTTTTATTCTAGCGTTGCTAGCGGGATTCTAGGCGGGCTTCTGACCTGTCCTCCCATTATATTCTCCCGTTGGGAGCTTTGCATTTTTATTCGCACAATTGTGCACTTTTGATTTATAATAGCACCTCTATCGTTTCGAGAAAAAA